TTGGGACCATGCTCTAAACCCAACCGGAAGTCAGCCATTTTGAATTTTGTATGAATTTCTAGTGTCGTTTTTGTCATTTCCAGGCACTTTACTTTAACGAACTCCTCCTAGGGAAATAATCGAATCAATTTCAAATTTGTTCAGAACAATCTAAAGACCTTTGTGATGAAAAGTTACTCAAAGCTTGTTGTTTCGTGAAAGGCCGTTGCCGTGGCGACGCTTTCTTCGCCATGAAAAATGAAGGTGTTTTTGAGGGGCTAAAAATGCTCAAAACATAATCAAACTTGTCACACACATTTAAAATCCTGAATGTTGTTATCTGATGTGATTTTAATACTTCAGAATGGCAAGTCGGTTCAATAGCGCCCCCTACAATATTTTGATGATGCAGCCCTCGCAGTACGTTTCACCTAGATGTATAGAATTTGGTAAGCAGATGTATCCCATGTACTTAAAAAAAAGTCTCTTGGAGCCATGCTCTAAACCCAACCGGAAGTCAGCCATTTTGAATTTTGTTTGAATTTCTCGTGGTTCTCTTCCATTTCCAGGTGCTGTATTACGAACTCCTTCTAGGGAATTAATCCGATCAGCTTAGAATTTGGTCAGAACAATCTAAAGACCTTAGCGATTAAAAGTTACTAAAAGCTTTAGGTTTCATCGAACGACGTGGATATGGTGTGATGGCCATTTTACATGGTTCACCATCATCCATCAAGCTGTTGTAACTCGACTGTACTTTGTCAAAACTGTCCCAAACTTGACATGCTTGTTGACTGTCATGGCTTTAGGACTTCTGCATGCCAACATTAACTCATAGTCACAGCGCCACCTACTGATAAGCACGGACGTAAGCAGGATTCTATAATTACAGCGCCCCAAACACTGAACTTACTGAAAGGGTTTGTGGGCGCACCATGAGAAAAAGACTTCTCTGATCTAAATATGTGCAAACTAAGATGCTTGGAGAGCAAAAGTTAGATAACAGTGGATTTTCAAACCATGTCAGTGGGCATTAGTATAAATGATCTGTCCAGAGCTTCTTCATGAGAATCAGGTTAAACGTTACAATGAATGCTTCACACTAGAGTCTAAAGTTACAGAAGAACTTAAAATGAAAACAGTGTTAAATTAAAGTGTTCAAGTAACAGCAAATGGCACTACTGTTTTGTTAACTTTCATGTAAGTCCAAAAACAATCAGCAGGACACTGCAGGGAGTTGAACCCCATCCCAGTAAACTGACAGTCTGTTCTGTTACAAACACTGAAGCGCATTCACACACATTCATTTTCTTAATGATCTTTAAAGGCTTACATTTATGATTGTATCGGAGGTACACTCAAAACATTTGAGGCTTAAGACCTGGCAACATGATCTTGCTACGCTGCTGGTCTACGCAGGAAATATCTCACTCGTGCACGCAGAGTGTGATGGTCACAGAAATTCATGGCCGCGTCACCCAGAGTCCTGCCAGTACCAGGAAATACCGTTTAACTTGTGCACGCAGTGTATGACGGTCACAGAAATGCATGGCCAGAGTCCTGCTAGTACCCTCGACGTGCATGAAGTTGCGAGGGCCCGATCAATGCTGCTCGCAGCTTTAATTCAATATGCTTTTTCTCACGGTTGTTTCTGTCATAAGTACATAGATATAAAACAGTTCATGTGACGTGTTATCATGACTTTCCATCCCGGGATGGAACCCTATGGCGGCCATCTTACCTGGGTCCAGTATTAAACTTGCTTAAAATGGAACCTATGGCGAAAGAGGCTGATATTGTCTCTATAATCCTTGTATTCTTCTACTAATACACAATACAATACATCACAACCGTAAAGCATTGTAATTGTTTTCTAGAGTACTTTTTTTGCCCCAAGTGCTGGTTTTGTGGGGTTGATGTGAATTATCTGACTAATAAATGTTAATAATTAATTCTTTGTTTCGTTTACTTTGAACAACTTGCCCCTAGGCATTGGAAATCACTGGTGTAGCCGAGGGTTATGACTTATCTGTGTTGTTTAATAGGTCTTATATTACATTCGTAATATCTGTTAATATGTGTTCATTTTAGTACCATGCTGCCTTCTCATGGAAAGCAATAATTAGATGAATAGTGACCGTGGGCCCTCTTTGTACACACTGTTACATTTATATTCCAAAAACTTGGCATGCGTGTGTGTGTTGATATGGGTGCGTGAGTATGTGCACACCCTTACCTGGAAGCGGTGGCTTTGTATTCAGTGCTGTGATAAAATGCACCGTGTGTGAGAGAGTTAAACATGGTTGTAAATGACTGTGTACACAAAGGTCTCGGACAGTTAAGCAGCTTGTATTGTATTAATTAAAGTTTGAACCCACATTACATTTTAGCTGAACATGAAAGGAAACAGTTTTGATCAAACATTTGCAGAGTTGGAGCAGGGGTTTTCAAAGTGTGGTGGCTCTAGAAATGGGACGTGAGCTTCTGATGTTTTGTGGTGGTTACGTTGTAAAGCAGAGATAAACAAGCCCCTCCGCACAACCCTGAGGGAAGGCGCTGCATTACTGGATTTTGAATAAATGCAGCCGAGGCGCTCCCTTTCATTCTGTCAGTTCAACTCCGCTGTGGCCTCTCTGCTCTGCCTGTGTGTGTATGTGTGTGTGTGTGGGGGGGGGTCTTGGTCAAATAGACACACAAACCTACAGCTCTTTATAAATCCATGACATGACAACATGACAGGAGAGGAGTAACCTGGTTGTAACCTTTTTTAAAGTCCCAAACTAACCTGCGCACTGTTACTGGCCTGGGGCTACACACTGCCCGACCGCTGAAGGCCAGAAACGACTTGAACACAGCAAAGTTAGATGAGAAGACAAAATACAAGCAAAGGGCAGATCCTCTGAAGACACCTCCACACCCTTTTAATGGGTCATCAGTGATGATTGAGAAGGATTATGAATCTATCATAGACTATATATAGGACGTGCCGTTCTGAGGCATCAAGTTCGACCAATGCCATCTTGGTTTTTGACCGTTGCCAACTTGCCATTTTTCAAACAGAAGTGACACGGGAGAGTGGAGCTCAATGCAACTGAACGCTGATTAAGACATTTTAAGACAACCAAAAAGGTGACAGTTATCTTAAAATACACTATGAAAGGATTGAAGCTATAAGAGGAAAACACATACAATACCCAGATTGGACAACACTGTGGTAGCGACCTGTCAATTACAACACTGTAATGAATTGCTGTAGATGTACAGTGGGTTTACAACAGTATCTTACAGTATTTCACAATTAACATGCAGTTAAATATTATAAATGAACAGTTAATGCCGTCAGTTAACCATAGCGGCAGATAACTGTACTTGACAGACCATCATAATATGATCATGCTATGAGTCCCCTTTAGTTACGAGGGTGTTGTGAAGTCCAAAGATATGGGCCTGTCAGTGTGTTCCACCTATGATATAATGCAGTATAATAAATTACATGTTTATTTTAAAACTTGTGTCGTCTATGGAAAATAGGGCAGTGTATTGCTGTCTCCATGACAAGAAAACAACGTAAAACGTTCCTTGTTCTAACTAGATCCTTCTCACGCTATGGCAACGCTTTTTTTGTGATATAATTTCCCGTAACTACTTATAAGAATTAGTGCTGGGCAACAATCTTCATGTAATAGATGCAATTTGAAATATACACCTTGAAAACTGCAAACCTATCTACGTCATGTTTTCTTCCTTTTTTTATGTTTGTTAAATTCTCAGTAGCAATAACTAAATGATGCTTATTATACATATTACAAACAAACCACTTTAAAAACTCTAAATAAATAATTTAAATGAATCATTTATTTTTTGATTTTTTTGGTATTTTGGTCAGACACATATGCAACGCTGATTACCGTAATATGTGTGGTATTTGTTATAAATGTATGTTGGTACATAGAGGGTGATAAGAAGCTGTACCTGGAGGGACTTAGGACCCAGGGGAATGTAGGTGAAGGAAGCAGGAAGAGACGGAAGAGACTTCACACAAACAGCTGTTCACTGCTCACTGCCAGTTCTTGTGTTAACAATGTCTGCTTAATAATAATAAAAAAACTGCGTTAACGCGATAATAACGAGTTAACTTGCCCAGACCTAATAAGAATATATCATTTTATAATTTTCTATTGGTAGACTTTGTTTTATGACAACAAATATATATTGTTCTTGTTTTAAGGAGAAACTGATTTTTCGATATAAGCTCCTGGAGTACAATTATAAATACAATAATTATAATGACATTAAAATAAAATAGTATTTGTAGAGTATTTTCTTAACAAACATTGTTGCCATTGTGTTCTCAGTCAAGGTTATTTTACAGGTTGTTTGTGTGCTTAATGATCTCCTCTGGAAATTAAAGATGAATCATTTTGATTGTATAACCAGAAACAAAATGCAACTTCCTGCAAACTGATCTAAACTCAACATAGATATGCACATCAACAAAGACACATGCCTACCATCACATAAAGAGGAGATATGTGGAAAGAAGAAATCAATACTTTGGCTATGATTCATCAAATCGGATAATTCTGCACTATTTGAGCTTCTGGAAATGGAAAATGTTGTAATTTTAGACTCTTCAGACATAACGTTTAATAAATACTTCTTTATTTGAATTATCTGTCGATCTTTTTTTTCCTGAGCCAGCTCCGTCCAGAAGGATCTTTTGGGTTGATCCTGATATGTGGGATTTCCCATGCCATGCTTAATAGCTCCTGTAAATAGTCTTGTTTAACTGTTCAGTGAACTAGTCTTCTGACATTGCCTCGGGCCCTTCCTTCTTGGTAAAGGTCAAACACAGCATAGAACCAGCCCTAGCAATAACGCCTCCTTCATACAGCTTAAATAACTGAATGGCCTCACCTCGACAGCTGTTGAAGAAAAGATTTGACACAAAACTCACCATCTTAGCTGTCTTTGCAGTTGCAATCCACTTAAATACAGAAAACACAGATCTGCCATTCTGAATGGAGTCACCAGAAACCAGCAGCGGTGTTCACCTGGCTGCATACAGACCCACACTTCCTCCGTCAGTAGTCAATGCGAAGGCAACAGCTGGAGGGTTTGATGAGTCGGGCTACTATCACTGCTATGGTGATGGGAGCAGTGTAGCATCTCATGGATCTGATGCTCTAACTGGCTATGAGACTCTGGACGCCCCGCCACACTATGACTTCTACGCCAACACAGAGGTGTTCGGCCGACAGAGGCGCTTCAGGCCATCTCTGTACCAGCTGTATGCCAACCCTGAGGTGAGGAGTCTCTGCATGTCTCTGCTCTTCTCAAATTACTAAAATTAAGAAAAAGAATAACAGAAATGCAGGTTGAATAGTCAGTATTAATATAGTATTCTTTTGGTTCACAATTTTAGCGTCTAATTTCCACTGAATATGCTTCAAATGGTCTAAAACAAACTCTGTTCCCATGATACATTATTTAAGTTTCAAGTCGTCTATCTCTCCTTGACCCGACAATACTGGCTCCATTACTATAAACAAAGATGCTTTTAGCCAAAGTTTCTGTTGTAAAATAGAATGTTGTGTACAAGATTACAACTTGCTACTAACTTGTTATCGAAATAATTTGGAAAAGTTTGTAATTCAGAAATCTAGTGTGAGACGAAAAGCTGTCAGTGTGGTCCTAGTCCTGCTACCACATCTTTCTGTTTGTGTGTGATAGCATTTCAAGTTTGGACATTTCTGTGTTCAACCAGTTTTATATACTTTATATATTTTATTATTGTCTGCCAATAGCAACAGATAATTTTCTTCATACACCATGAAAAACGAATTAAATATGAACTAAAGTTTGGGATGAGCTCTCGCTTCCACCCACAGCTCTCTGCTGCATGTCATCCCCTCTTTCTCCCCGTTCCTGTCATTCTCCCTGCTGCACTATAATAAAGGCAATATACAAAAGTCCCCAAAGATATTCTTGAAAACAGATAACTCTATATGTTTAACTAATTTGTGTCATTCTTGATTTCTGTGACAATGTCTACTTTAACGAGTGTTGGTTATCAACAAAATCTATGTTTCTTGTAAATGTGTGATTAGTGATTTTAGACTATAAAGGTATAAATGTATTTGACTTTACTTGACTAGGTTGATTCCAGACCTCCGTTGTATGAGGAGACAACAGCTGAACAGACAAGAGGAGAAGACAGCTCAGAGGAAGGCGAGGAGGAGCAGGAGGAGCAGAAGGAGCCACCACCTGAACCTCCCCGCTTTGGCTGGGTACAGGGAGTCATGGTAGGCCGGGTTACACTAGTATGGGATTTTGGGATTTCTGCAGTTGTGCACGATTGACTCGCTGGCAATCATTTTGCACAATCATTAGATCCGCTTCCGTTTAAAGGTAATGCATGAAACAAACATAAAGGCCATATTTCTGTCACATTTTTCACATTGTTTTCCACTATTGTAAGTTTGACTGCTATCCTTTTAATAGGCTACGTCTTCTCGTTGCACCCTCTTTTTAATGGGACCAGACTGAATCATTGGCACCAACAGTTGATCATTTCGAGACACTTAAATTCTAATATTCGCATTGCGGCAATGGATGGAAAATCAGATTATTTGCATTTTTCTTTTATAGATTTTCTGTAAATGATGTTGAAACTTGCTCTGCATTTGGATTGAAACCCGTCTAGTCTTAGAGATGTGAATTAGGTACAGTTTCATCAGCTGAAAGTTAATCTGAGCACAATGCTCCTTTGACAGGAGAAAAAAACATGGAAAAAGGGTCAATATGTAACTTGTTGTGGATAGATTACAGTAAAACTATTCCTGAACTATTTACAATTAAATGAAGACCTCTGAATAAGTCAGTGTCTCACCAGGAAGGTTCAAGTATAATTTATTGTCATTGTACAACACAGCGTTGCCCAACAAAATGCTGTTGCAGTCCCATTTATTAGATATTTATTATTTATTATTCTGAAGGAAAGAACATGTTCAGTCTCTCGTCTTGTGGTAGGGCAGCTCATTCTGTATTGCCTGCCACCACCACCCATCCTCTCCCAGTGCAGACTTCAGGTCATGGTCTCAAATTCATTTTGTTTTTTTGAATGTGCTGATGACAGCTAAAAGAGACACAAACCACAGGTTAGATCAATGTCAAAACATCTTTGTATGAAAAAACCTGCGTAGTGTACATTGATCTGAATTATCACTCACAAATAAATCTCAAATGGACATAAATGTCCTTTGGGGATTTTCCCTTTACACTCATCTTGGTCATCATGGCAATTTAGGAGACTTCTGAAAAACACAAACAGATTTAAGTTTCAATATTGAATGCTGTATTTTGGTTTGAAAATCACAATTATCATCATTTATCAATTATCAAGTATCATTAATATAATTTACAAAGGGTAAAAAAAAAAGACATGGGACAAGTTATCCAAGCTACTGTACATACAAGGGGTGCAGAGTTGAGCATCCAGAAAGACTTAACATCTCGCCACAGTGATGACACTGTTTATGTTTTGAGGTGATGACACTATGTTTTTAGATAAATAAAAAGCACCAAAAACAATTATTTTCTGTATGCCAAATGCTATGACAAATTATTTTTATTTCATTACAGTCAGATATAAGTCAGTGATTAGCAACAATATTGACTTTAATGCATTTTTGTGCAGCATTAGACTAAGAATCTCATCTGTACATTTTCCCTTTAAAGCATTTAAAAAAATGTTCACTATTGCTTCTTTTAATTCTTCCAATATCCCTTCAAAGTTTTTACCTTCTAATCACCCGTTGACTTATTTCAGCAGAAAGCCTAAAAGATGACTTTGAATAACAGCCATGAGAGCCACTTGCTCTCAGCTCATATGGTCAAGCAATCACATATGTTTGCATGTAGGCACACAAGTGCACTTCTAAAAAGATGCACACGCACACACACACACACACACACACATGTTCAAAGCTCAATAGCTGATCCTGTAATTTATAAACAGAAATGTACTGCACCTCAAAGGTATAATCTATTCTATTGTGTTGAGTTTGAAGGGCTGCATGTGCATTCATGTGTGAGTGGGTGGTCGAAGGTGTGTGTGTATGAGAGAGAGAGAGAGAGAGAGAGAGAGAGAGAGAGAGAGAGAGAGAGAGGCAGCATGAGACTTGCAGTACAATAACGTTTCTTTTCCTTTGGCTCACACACAATGTTAGAGGGAGTTGTCCTTCAATCAGAAGATTGGCGGTCGATCCTCGGCTTCTCCAGTCCATGCTGTGTCATGACTTTACTTATTAATTTATTTTCAATTATCTTTAATAATCCTTTATATTGTTTATATCTATACAACAGAAAAATCCTGTTTGACAACTATATTGTTGTGGATTAAAGAAGATTCTTCAAAGCTTATTACCAAGCAAGAAAGTACATCCACCACTATGTCATACTGTCTCTACTTTGGACCTTCTACTGATTAAGCTGCTTGCCCGTCTTCAGTCGGCTATAATTTCCATTTTTTAAGAAAGCACCATTTCCACCAAATAGGTCCGGCTACACTACAGTCGTCATAGTGTGTTAGAGCTCAGGCTGGAGCTCTAACACACTAATGTTTTTTTTTAGCTCTAATGTATGTGGCCATTTTCAGAGCGACTTTTTTGTGTAGCCGCTCTGACTTCTTTTCAAAAAAGCGCGTTTCTGCCAGAGAAAAACACTATGAAGACATTCTAGAAAGAATCCTTTCCTCTTGAGGAACCTCTGGCATGCTTTACTGGTGTTGGTGTTGCACTTCAAATGCTGTCTCGGTTTAACCAGATCTTGTGTATTTGTTCAATTCTGTCCGTAACTGTCTGTTTGTAGATCCGTTGCATGTTAAACATCTGGGGGGTGATCTTGTACTTGAGGTTGCCTTGGATCACTGCTCAAGCTGGTATCGGTACGTCCAACAAAACCTGTTTGTGTGCTCGGTCCATTGTAGATGCAAATTTCACCAAAACATTTCTTTGATATGTCAGCCTATGAGAGAGTCAGTGTGGCTCATGTCATCCTTTCTCCCCTTCTCTCTGTGTCTTTCTGTCAGGTCTGACCTGGGTGATTATCCTGCTGTCCTCCTGTATAACTGGGATCACTGGTCTCTCAACCTCAGCCATCGCTACCAATGGCAAGGTCAAAGGAGGTCTGTTCCCTCAGTGACTCATGCGTGACACAACAAACTACTTAATAAATTACAAATATTTCAAAAATACAAAGAATTAATCAGGATTAATATGAGAAAAACAAAACATGTGGGCTGTATCAGACATTGTATACAATTTTAAATGCCAGTGATCCCTTACATGATGAACACGTTTCCCATGATACATTTTGCCTGTTGCGCCCACTTCTGTCTTCAGGTGGAACTTACTTTCTGATCAGTCGCAGCCTCGGTCCAGAGCTGGGTGGGTCCATTGGTCTGATCTTTGCTTTTGCCAATGCTGTAGCTGTGGCCATGCACACTGTGGGCTTTGCTGAGACCGTTACAGACCTCATGTATGTAAGTAGGATGTGTGTTAATATGTACGTGGAGCAACTTTTACAATGATACTGTAATCACAGTTTTCTTTCTCTGAAACACACTGACATTTCTTCTTTCTCAGGAGAATGGAGCTGTCATGGTGGACCGAATCAATGACATCCGCATCATTGGCATCATTACAGTCACATGTCTACTGGGTATCTCACTGGCTGGCATGACGTGGGAGTCAAAGGTTAGCTCAACCAAATATATGAGACCATTGTGAACTGCCATCGTGATTAATGACAAATTGTTGGGATTTTAAAATGTACATGAAAAGACTTATCTGATGTGCTGGATGTTTTATCGCTGCAGAAGTTACAGAATTCATTATTTATTTCTTTATTTTTTATACCACTTATACCTTCATAAAGCTGGAGCCAGCAGTCCATACTTAAGTTAGCATAAAGACCAGGAGCAGTGGACACATCAGAATGTTCCTTATGTTTATTTCAAGCATGCTTGGTATCGAGCATGTTCATCCTAGCTAGTGGGATAAGACCAAGGTTATTTATTAGTGTGCTGAGATACATTAGCTTGTTCTTGCATGTACATTTCTGTCTGCATCCATATGTTTACCGTATATTCTGCCCTCCACAGGCGCAGGTTTTGTTCTTCCTGGTCATCATGGTGTCATTTGTCAGTTACGTTGTTGGAACGATCACTCCTGCTTCACCACAGAAACAAGCCAAGGGTTTCTTCAGCTACAGAGGTGACTGTTTAGTCCTTGCTCAGAGTATGATATTCCTGCAAGCCAGTGCAACGTTTCCTCTTTCAGCGTTGAGCTATTTAATATGTGTATGGTGGTTTATACACAAATCAAGGATAACCCATCTTTGAGTCTTTCCCTTTAGGAGCTCTTCGATAAACTAACTATTTCACCTTCAACAGCTGATATCTTTGCTGCCAACTTTGTACCTGGCTGGCGGGGACCAGAGGGCAGTTTCTTTGGCATGTTCTCCATTTTCTTCCCCTCCGCCACCGGCATTCTGGCAGGAGCTAACATCTCAGGAGATCTGAAGGTATGTTCATTTCTTTCTTTCTCTCTGTTTATTTATTTTCTTGTAAAATCCTAAATTTAGAAAACCATGCATTGTTGTCTGGTATATGAACATGCCTGCTTGCCCCTGACATCATCTTGTTCCTGCACATACATACACACAAACCTTGATCAATATGTAGTATGTAGTAATCCCCCCCAACCACTTCTTCAGATGAAAACTGTTGTTGATAGATTCAGATGCAAGACTTTAGTGCAACATATTTGAATTCTACACATTGTATCTTAAAGATGCACAGCGACTGAATCCTGGCTATCACAATATATTTGAGCTTTTGGTTGATCTGGAGGTTATGTATATGAAGGCAGTTTTCATATGAGAAGTGGAAGTAGTCATCATCACCCATTAGTTTGCCAACCACAAGCGACACGACAGAGTGGAGTACAACACTGAATAAGACATTTTTAGGAAATCAAAAAAGGTTACAGGTAACTTAAAACCCACGATGAAAGACTTAGAGCTGTAAGAGGGAAGCATGAACAACCCAGACCGGACAACACCGTGGTAGCGACCTCTCAATTACAAGCTACACCCTAAAGTGTATTCTACTCTAAATGGGGCCATCAGTTTCTGTTTTGAAGAAGACTTAAATCTAGCAATTACAACTATAAACTCATGTATAAAATGTTTACTGAGGTAATGAATCAATAGAACAGTAGGGTCAAGAGTAATGGCTATCATCAACGGTCATTTACAAACAGTCCTACTAAATGTTAAAGTAACAGACCAAAACACATTACTCATAAAGATGCTAAATTTAATCCAGATATGAAACTACATCTAATATATATATCTTTTTATATACATGTACAGTCATGTTATTCATTTAGAAAAAAGATGAGGGCATCATAAAAACATAAAATAACTCCTTACATAATTATTTACATGGAAAACATTTACATCAAAGGGCATCACGCAAAGGACAATTGGCACAGCCTTGAGCATTTCCCACAGTCTTTGCTTAAGTCACTTATGTTCCAGTTAGGCTGATTTGGGTTCAGCAGTTGCCTTGTCATGGTCCTATCATTGCAGGTAGCTGACAGAGGAGGTACTGGGAATTTGCTGGAAGTTATACTGTTGCCACTGTTGTGGTGGTAGGCAGGAACTTGAACAAGGGTGTGGGAGGATGACTCAGTTTCATCCAGCACCTTTATCCTGGTCTCGCCTCCTTTTTCAAGTGGTTCTTGAACAATTGTAGGCAACCTTTGCTCCATTGTATCCACTGCTCTACCTGCCGTACAGAAGTGGAAGGAATTCACAAAAAGTGCTTTGGTGGCCTGCTTCAGCTCAGACAAATAGTATGATTTATAACATAAACCAGCACAAAACTGACAATTACCCACATAAAGCACTATGTTCTAAAGAGACACAATTCAAACTAACACTGATAAAATGTAACATTTGCCTTTTAGTACATAAAACAGCAAACTTCACAATAATCAGTCAAGCACTGCATGTTTGGAATTGTAGGCTGTCGCTACACAGCATCACCAGCTACCAAATAGCCCTTTAACTGACTGCAGACTGACTCGGTGATGTGCCATCACTGACTGAAACCTGAACTGATGAGACCGTACCCTGGCCATCACTTTAACAAAGAGAGGAGGATTTTGAACTTCCAGCAGTGTCGGTCATAAATAGTGGTTGAGAATGAATTTGGCACCTTGTCTTCAAGGTGGAGAGCATTTTACCAAGGAATCAAGATGGGACATAGAGTGGACACATGTTATGGCTGCTTGCCTCCTCCATAGCTTCTCGCTGACACCAACTGACTCACAGATTCGAGACTATTGAACGAGGGACAGGGACATCTGGGGATGCAGATGCATACTGTCAGCAACAAGGGGGGGAACCTTTGATGTAGGGGAGATCTTTAGTGCTTTCACTATCTCACCACAGTACAGTGTGTCCTGGCAGGATCGCATGCTATAATAAGTGGAATGTGTTGGCAGAGGGATTGATGACTGCTGTAAATATTTAATGAGACTGTTTATAAGTAGAGTGTTTGTAATGTGATTGTCTCGCCTTTTGTAATAATCCATATTGTTTTCTGATTTATTGCCATAATAAAAGTTGTTTTTTGATATGATCTGAGTTATTTTCATTCTTTGCTATATGTCAACAAATTGGCATTTGCAAAGGTTGGACATCTAGTGCTGTTTTGTTTCAATGCTGTTTGTTCCTTTGCTTAACTGAGGGGCCAAAATATTATTATTAAATCGACTATAACAAAATGACAGGTATGTCTTTTCACTTGTGAAATTCTGCTGCAATGGCATTCCACTTAGCTTCTTTCTTATTGTCTTTGTAGATTGTGTTCCTTGGGTCATACAACACTTTGTACTTTGAAGATCAATTTCATACAATTCCATAGTTGCTTAGTTTTTGGAGATTATGTTAGTTTTCACTATTCAAAATGCTCTGCATAAATAAATAGACAGCAATACATGAGAAAACATGCAACGGGAAGCAATCAAAATCAAAGAACAATATAAGTTTACAATAAAATAAAGATTATAGGCTAAATTTTAAATTAATATGATAAAATAATGATTAAATCCTAAAATATGTAGTAAATTGTAGTATTGGGGCGGCATGGTAGTGTAGTGGTTAGCACTGCCCATCACAGCAAGAGCAAGAGGTGCATGGGTTCAATCCAAGGTGGCTGGCTGTTCTGTGTGGAGTCTGCATGTTCCTCCCACAGCCCAAAGACACGCAGTTTAGGTTAGTTCATGACTCTAAATTGCCTGTAGGTGTGAATGTGTGCGTGAATGGGGTTAAGTTACTCTTTAAAAGTGTGATGTTTGTGTCTTTTGTCCTTTCCTTCCCAGAATCCAACAGTGGCAATCCCCAAAGGAACACTAATGGCAATATTCTGGACCACCATTTCTTACCTCATCATCTCTGCAACCATAGGTACTGTATGTCCCAACTGCCTACCTCATCTGTATCTCAGACTGCCTACCTCATCTGTATCTCAGACTGCCTACTGCATCTGTATCTCAGACTGCCTA